CAGGACCCATCTCCGGGGTCAGTCCAGCCTGTCCCATGGTCTCCTGAGCTCCTGGCTCCCAGTCCCAGGCACCGATGGCCTCTGCACGCAGCAGCCTCTGCGCAGCAGATGAAGGGATGGTGACAGCCACTGGCACTGGCAGAGGACTTGAGGTTACTGGGTAGCACCGAAAGGCTCAGGAGTGAGGTCCTTGCCCAAGAAGTGCCCAGAAAAGGACTGGGGAGGACTTGTTCCTTGCTGGTCTCAGAGGAGCTGGCGGAGGGCACACTGGTGTCTGTTTTTCCGTTCCCATTCCCAGCGCTGAGGTCTGGGAGCCCTGATGGCACAGCCCATCTCCTGCCGTCCCTGACGACGTGCCGAGTGGGTCCGAGGGCAGAGGCAGCGTGGCTGCGGACACGGAGGGGTCACTTAAGCTGTTTCGTTGCTTTCCTTCAGACCCAGCTCGCCTTGGGAATCTCACTGACGACTAAAACCTGAGCCTGGGCTGTAGGCTCAGCTCTCCACCGGGTGTTTGTGCTGGGCTGGCTGTGGGGCGAGCACTCCCGCAGCGTGCCTTGTGCCGGTGGCGCTGCCCCAGCCCCGGAGCCCGCGCCAAGGAAATCAGGGCTCAAGCTTTACATTTTAGGTGACAAATTCTGTTGCCGGAGAAAATGACCACGGTCTGCAGTGGATGCCTGAGCCTTTGCGCAGCTAATGAGAGGGGAAGCTGGCCCATCAGTGTTTTAACTGTGACGACACGAAAGGTTAATCTACAGGGTCAGCTAATTACATACACACGGCTAACCTCATGCCGCCAGCCAGCTGCCAGCACTCCTGCAGCTGAACCGGGGGTGCCTGAGAGCTCTTGTAGAACTGAGCCTCTTTGCTTGTGCAGCCTAAAACTGCCCTGGGTTTACAGCACACTCTGTCCCTTCCAAGGAACCCAGTGCAAAAACCTCTGCTAAGAAAATGTTAAAGGTGCTCAGTTAGGCGGGCACCAGCACAGACTGCGCACCTGGGTTCATCGTGGATTCTTTCAGACCAAGACAGCAGCTAACCCTAACCCAAATGTCCCTAAACTCAACCTTAACCCCAACCCTAACCTGAATGGCCCTAACCCAAACCCTGACCCCAACAGCCCTAACCCCAACCTTTTAACCCTAACTTGAATGCCCCTAACCCCAACCCTAATCCAAACAGCCATAAACCCAACCTGAACGTCCCTAACCCTAACCCAAACCTTAACCCTAACCTGAACGGCCCTAACCCCAACCTGAACCCAAACTCTAACCCCAACCCCAACGGCCCTAACCCCAACCCGAACAGCCCTAACCCCAACCCCAACTCTAAACCAAACAGCCCTAACCCCAACCTTAACCCAAACTCTCACCCTAACCCTAATCCGAACCCAACCTCTTCAGACACATCTGGGCCTAACGCCACTGGTGTGGGGCAGAGGCAGCGCCTGCTGTTCCCTCTCCTGCTGGCACCACCCCGGGCAGGGGCAGGGGCCGCGCGTTCCCGGCTCCCTGGGGCCCGCGGGGCCGGCCGGGGCGGGCGCAGCTCGCGCTGGGG